CCAGATTGAGAAGTCACAGCTGCGATGGCTTGAGCATGTGTTGCGAATGCCTCCAGAAAGGAAGGCTAAGTAATTCTTTCTTGCCCAACCGACCGGCAGAGGATCCAGGGGACGGACAAGAATAACCAGGTGCAAATCGTAAGGAGTCTGCTCTAGACTCCAGTTGTTTTCTGCCGAAGCTCAGACTTTTGTACAGAATCGGAGACATTGGAAGCGCTCTCTGACGGGTTTGCCTATGCGACCCGAAAGAAGACGCGAGTATAGAAAACGAAGATGAAGATTAGTCAAAGCTAATAAAGATACTAAGCTGTATCTTAGTAGACGCTAAAATGACTAACTTCACTGGCTAGTTGAAATTGCTGGCTGTGCCCCACGTGAATTGTGGTTGCTGAGAGACTGTTTAAGAATGAGCTGTAGGGGTCTTCATCTTCTGGCTGAACAGTAGAGACTGACGATCCAGAAAAAAGCACAGGTATGGTGAGGTTAGTGGTTCGGAGTTGACAAGGAAGACGAATACCGTTTCAAAGGAGAAGAATTTTGGCAGTTGAGCTGAGACAAGTGTAATGTTTGCGAAAGGCTGATATTAGGAATCTGAGAGTAGCTCCATTTAAAATTCTTTAAACAGAGCATGAAGGGAAATAGGAATTATAAACAAAGTGTTGGAATACTTCTTGAAGGTTCCGTCCACAAGCATACCATATGTTGGATTTCCTCAAATTGATGCTGCGAAGATTTTTTAATTGCCAAAAGGAAGGTTTGCATGTTAAAACTATGGTAGAGTGCATTTCCTTTAACACCTGTGGTAATCGTGAATTTTTGCCATATACCCTAGGCTATCAAGAAAGAAGCTCAGCAGTAGTAATCAGGAAATAACTTCTTTCAGCTTGTCGTATAAACCAAATCTGCCTAGGAATAGTATTAAATAATGAAGAGTCCACCTGGCAAAGTGCAATCTTTTCTAAAGGTCACTTAGGTTATCTGTCTTCTTCTACAATAAAAGTTACGCTTCTATGATCCTAGACACAAACTTCAACAGTAGATGGATGCTCAATTTCTATCTGAATTGCTAACGTTACAACACTGGCTATTTTTGGCGCAAACAAGCAAATGATTTGCTGGCCTGGATGACAGCCAGTGTTTCTTAGCGAAATGTCGGCAGCTCATAGTGCTTTCTTTGGAGGATGAGATCAGTTCGATTAAAATTTTGCTTTTCTATAAGTTATTGAATTATGTTTGCCCCCGCGACCCAAAATGAGAAACTGTCATGGAAAATGAATGAATATACATTATTGAGAAGGTGTTAAATTATAACTTACCAAGTATAATCAGAGCGGTCGAATGGTGATCCGACCCCAGACGGTTTGTAGCCATACAGGTATAGTATCCGCTATCTTCGACGGTGACTTTAGCTTTGAAAATTGACTGACCCCCATTGTTCGTGTGAAAGGAAGCCATATTTAACTTCTGACCGTTTTTTAACCACTTTAAAACTGGCGTTGGGTGGCCTGTAGCCCCACACAGTATTGTTACACTGCTATTGACGGCAACTTTAATCCTTGAGAACTTTCGAACGATTTTTGGAGCAGCTAAAGAACGTGAAGCGAGGAAGTGATTAAACGGTCCTGCGTTACGGGATCCACTTACAGACCACTCGCACGACGGTAGTCCATTCCAGTCGACCAAGTTTATTTTCAGCCAAGCAAGAATACACACCGCCATCTGTCCAGGATAGCGCCTCGATGCGAATTTCAGTGCCGTTCATTGAGATGCGGCGATTTGCACTTTCCGTCAGCTCTTTATCGTTTTTCTTCCAAATGGTCTGAATTTAAAATTAATTAGGCAGTTTTACATTGACATGTCGACGCGAAGCACGAAGGTGCCAGCAGACCAAAGCTGACGTCGCAATGAATTGCCGAAATTCATTTATAAGGGAAATTTATAGTGTTCAATGACATAATTGTTATGTTAGACAGCATAACAAATCGACTATTGCAAATCAACTACTGAAAGAACATGATATCATCCTTATGTTTGCATACTCAATTCTGCACTTAGCACGAAACATCAGTTCAGCGCAATTCATCAGGCATTTAAATGCCTCGGAAAAAGCTAAATCAAAATGTTAGGTTATTGCATATATTTCGTGGATTTCTGCACTACTCTTGGAAGCGGATACAAATGTTTTACGTTTATACTGCAATTGGATTTAAGGCTATTTTTGCCTAAATTTTGATACGACCACTATTAGTACAAAATATTTCATTTAATTCAGAGAAATGATGGTGTTTGTTTGCATCTGTATGTTGGTGGAGATCATTTTCTTGAGCTGTCTGCATAAGCAGAGTACCTCTCGCTGGAGATTTCGGCGCTGTTCGCAACTTTTCGACAATTTTGAAAAAAGAAATCTGGGAGTGATTAAGGGCCTTCTGAAAAAATATTTTTTTCATAAGGTAACGTCTCGCTGATGATTCCGAGAAATTTCATATATAATTTAATAGATGAAATTATAGCGACGATGTCAACATCAGTTGACAAAATCACTGCAGTGTTTATAAATATCTCATTTATTAAATTGCTACAATACCTGAAGTAACGGCAATCCATCGACATCATATTTCAAATTCAAAGTACTATCCACAGTCACGTCGATGATTTGAAAGGCCGAACCTTTTCCCCTAGGGGGTCCTGAAAATA